CAGTAAAGTGATAGCTCCAGTGAAATCTCTCATCTGCAAGAATTCTTCCGTTTTGGGTAACTTTCGTTTCTTTTTCGAATCCTTGGCGGATGACACAGTGTTTCCAGAGCCTGGCCCCACGGCCGGCTTGGTCCTTGAAAGCATCTGCAAGAATTTGGGTTAAAGATTATTGTACTGTTTATATACAACAGCTGTATAAAAAGCGCGGCTTCATTTCAATGATCTCGGTCCCATGTAAACGAATTGTAACTCAAAAGACTTTCTTCCAAGAGAAAAATTCGTTAAAAAGCTATATATTACAGCATTTATTATAATATAAATAAACTCAAGGTAAATGCACGACTAGTTGTTAAAATGATAAATTGTTATCCGTTGCTAAAGCTTGTATTTATATACACAACAAAAAGCGTTAAAAGTGAAAATAAAAGGACACATCTTACCATTTTAAAGCCGGAATTCTTTTCTCAGCTTTCAGATTGCATAAAAATATTTGGAACAAATCACTTTGATGAAAAACCAGACGTGCAAACGATTTTTTTTAGGTGAAGTATCTTGGTTGAGGTTTGGTCGCTACGGCCGCCATTTTGCGTTCTTGGTCCTAGCCTCGAGATCATGCGACAAAACAGGTTTGTACGTTGTAGGGTAGGGTGGGAAAAATAGGTAGCAAAATGGCGGCTGCTGATGTTTTTTATTTATTAAAAATACTATGGATGAAAACAATGACCTGGCCGAAAGTAGTGATAAATTTAACATTGAAGAAGAAATATCAATTGCATCTCATCGTAAAGGAGTCTCGTGCGTCAAATTTAGTCCGAACGGACAGTTTATAGCTTCTTCGTCCGCCGACAAACTTATTAAAATATGGAGCGTCTCAGGAGATTTGGAGGCAACGTTGAAGGGTCACAAGTTGGAAGTGTCTGAAGTGTGCTGGAATTCAGAAAGTCGCTTTCTCGTCTCGGCCTCAGATGACACCAGTGTTAGAATTTGGGACTGCTCCATTAAATCTTGTGTTAAAGTCCTCCTTGGTCATCAAGACTATGCTTTTTGTTGCTGCTTTAACTTCAAAACAACTTTGGTTGTTTCTGGATCTTTTGATGAAAGCATTAAGATCTGGGATATATCTGAAGGTAAAAAGAAAAAGATAAATGAAGGGAGGAAGCTGTTTCAAATAAGTCCATGCAAATTTTTCATAGCTTACAGGCCCAGTCGGGGGAGGGGGCGGCAGGGGTACTCCCTTATATGCCCTATGCGGGGATTTGCCGCTGGACAGGGCATGGTTTTTTACCTCTCTGTCCTAAAAAGGGTATATAAGTTCGTGTGAGTCTGTTAAAAGGGTATTTCCTGCACTGCAGATCCTGCAGCAGGATCAATTTGATTTCCAAGATGAATTTTGGATTATGAATTTTTTGGACTGTGGACTGAACATGTATTAAACCATAATTAGCCTGAGAAAACAGCCAACTTTTCGTGAAGCAACCGCTGGTTTCCCCTCTAAATAAAGTCTGAGGAATGAGCGCAGAAATTCCATACTGACGACACAGCACTACCCAGATTTGGATTTTAAAAGTGGAGCTTCATGCACGCGCAAACCCCATACCTATGAAAATTTGGTAATCTATCCACCTGAGAAATTTTTTGGTAATCATGTGACTGTGCGTCCGTCCATTCGTCCGCACCACGGGGAAACCAATGTGAAATGTCAACCTTTCTAGCTAGTGTGGGGGCCTGTAACGTGTATTTAACTTGATAATAGACATCCATATTATGGTCAATTGACAACTGTCAAAACAAGGTATCAGCTGACCAGTGTCACATGACCGTTTCGTGGGCTCAGGTGCCAACTCATCGAGGTTACGCATCTTTTTGAAGTTTTCTGCTGACCATTTGTTGGTTTTTAATAATAACAGTGATTGCAGGAACAAGTTTATATTTTTCAGGTTGTATGTTTCCCCACTAAAGTTAAGTATAGATTGTGGATTTCTTTGCAATGGCTTGATCTCCATTGTCTGAAGTAAATGCAGAAACGGGAGCTTCGCTTTTAGCTCTATATTGCATCATCAGTATGGAATTTCTGCGCTTGTTCCTCAGAGGTCATTTCAAGGGGAAACTAGTGTTGGCTTTGCGAAATGTAGACTGTTTCCTCAGGCTAAAACACTATGGGAAATACATTAGAGGAGGCTAAATCTGCACCAGTAAGAAAATGGTCAATAAGAACTATATCCTTTGCAGAGACTCCCACTTGGTGTATGAATAAAATAAAATTAACAAAAGGTTTGAGGGCAACAATGGTAAGAGAGAAAAAACAACAACAACAACAGTCTTACTCTCTCTTGCTTAAAAATAAAATTACAACAATGAAAATATTGAAAATAAAATTAGAGCACTGGCTGCCTGGAATAACCATAGAGGCTACAGAGCCAGACAGCCAGTTGATGTCAGCATTAAATAGAAGTAAATTACAGGTCAGCTAGATACTGTAGCACAAATGCACTTTTTTTTTCCAAAAAGAACTTGTATATTGTCACCTTTCAGGGTGTTGTCTCAAAACATTGGTTGGTCACAATGGTGCCATCACTGCTGTGCAGTTTAATCCAGATGGAACACTTGTCATTTCCTGCAGCTATGATGGCAAATGCTGTGTGTGGGATGTGTTGTCTGGGTGTTGCTTAAAAACAATCTTATCCTCTGAAAATTCCCAACTGCCCATATCACATGCTCGGCTGTCACCCAATGGAAAATATCTGCTAATGTCCACCCTTGATAGTATCATAAGATTATGGGACTACAAGATAGGCCAAGGAAGACTAAGAAAGGAATATCAAGGTAATTAAACCTATGAACTACTTATAAAGTATCAGTAATTACCAGCCAGTTATCAGTATCACGATGTGATATTATTGAATTTTAGAGAAAACGAAATTCAACAATACAGCAACACTGGCCTTTTCAGTCAAGGCAATTTAATTTTTCAAAATATAACAGTTAAAAATATAGAACCACTTTTATCACCTAGAACCCTACACTTGATACTGAAGTCATCAAAATCCAACAGAATGATGTGGGTCATCTTTTGATTTATAATAATATTTCAGATTATACCAGTGAGAATATTTCTTCTATTTGTAACTGAAAACATGATTATGTACCTCCAGTAGATTGCATGTATAAAGCAACCAAATTTTTACGTCAATAACTTGTGACAGTAATAACTGATAAAATTGAGGTCAACGGTGCGCTAATTTTATCCCCCTCTCTCCATCAATGTTCCATTTTAAGGATATTTAAAACTTGTCAAAGCTACACAGAAAGGGGAGAAGTTGAAACAAGGATATGATGTCACTGGGAATCAAACTCGGGAACCCGAGCACCGAAGGCCGCGCACTAACCAAATGTGCCACCCTTTCTCCCTCTGTATAAGGGAAAAATGAGTGTGGGCTTCTTAGCCTACCTCCACTATGGCTAAATTTATGTTATACATCTGCACTTACAGGGCATCTAAACAAGGATTATTGTGTAATGGCATGTTTTGGTACTGTTCACGGCAAGTGGATCATATCTGGATCAGAAGACAATCAGCTATTAATCTGGGATCTTAATACAGGCCAAGTTGTAAAGAAACTTACTGGTCACGCAGGTCCTGTGTTGTGCTGTGATGCTCATCCTTCAAAACAGATCATTGTGTCTGGATCTCTTGACAAGAAAGTGAAGATCTGGAGGTGGTCATAGCAGGCTTCCAAAAGGAGGTTCAACTGGACATGACATCTGACTTTGTTCCAAGGATAAACTCTTCTTTTGTGAGATTTTGGAGTCAAGACTGTAATGTTCCCATGACCTCATATATACATAAGACATCCCAAAAGTGTTATACAACATTTTAAAAGAAAAATCAAAGGTAAAAAAGGAACACGACGTTTCGATGACTCCATACAACAGCCACACGTAACTGCAAAAACAAATGAAAATTTAAAGGAGCGTAGTCACGATATTTGCATTCATGATTTTTAATATACAGAAGTATCTTGAAGTTGACGGAAAACGTACCTGGAAATACTGATCAGTTTGGTAAAATAGTAAAACTCCAGAGAAAAGTAACAAAAGAATGGTTTAGGATGAAGAAGATTGACATAGATCAGAAACCAACCTGAAAAACTTAGGTTAAATTTGTTAAGATAAAGAAAGCTCATTGTCGCAATGTCTCCTTACGAGAACCCTGTACCCAGTTCAGTGTTCATAAGGTGGATAACACAATCCACTGGATAAATAACTATCCAGTTAATAACTCAGTTGGTTTTCCTAATGCTGCGAGATTTTTAGCCTGCGAAAACATCCTTTTCTCCTCGCTGTTCGCCTCTGAGGGACGTTTCCTCCGCGCGAAACGCCCCATCGGCGAAGAGCCGGAGGAGAAACGGATGTTTTCGCAGGCTACGAGATTTTGTTCGTTGAAGCCAAGAAGGTGTTACATAACATCAACAGAGAAAAAAATCTAATCGGGATCCTCTCTTTGTTCTCCTGATACTTTATATCCGCTGAATAGTGATTTATTCGGCGGATAGGGCCTTTTCTTGCGTGGGGTGATTTTCACGCGCGCTTGCGTTTCGCACGCTCTACTATCCCTGAGGAAAAATGGGGGACTACTCTTAGTCTAGGCTTGAACAACCGGGTCTAGGCGGCGGTCGTTCAAACGCTAGATAGAGCAAACCGATAAATCACTATCCAGCCGATAGGTATTACAGAGATTTTGGATAACGCAATTGGCTTCCCTAAAATTTATCCGCTGGATAGCGCTATCCAACTTTTCAGCAAACGCGGCAAGATAACATGTCATGGCCTTCGCTGGGAGCGAGTTCGTTACGAAAACGAGATTAAGCGGAAACGCTTGCTACGGAGGCAAGACCATCATAGACGTCTGTTATATAAACAATACCATAAAAAAACACAAGATAAAGTACCTAACTCGATATTTTCAGACGATATTTTTGAATGCAATTGAATACACGTCTTTTCATGTTACTTAATTTAATGAGTGTTTAAATACTACATGCTATACGCAATAGTACTGTTACAATACTCATTCAACGTTACCCAAGCTACGAATAAATATTTCTTTCCTGACTTAGATTATTTTGATTGTTTCAACATGATATTTTAAAGATTCAAAATGAGTGAGATCTTTAAAGCGTGCATTAAACACTAACCGGTCACGCTAAAGCACTACTCATTCTTTCTAATTTTCGCGCATACTGTATTTTGTGAGTATTTCGCAATTTGGGAAGGACAAAATAGCCAAACCATTAGAATTTCGCTATTTACTCATTTTTTGAAACCCGCCAAGGCGAGAGCTATATACAAGGACGAACCGACAGATAGAGTTTGACGACTGTAAAAACAAAATATATCTATCGGTATATAATAGCAAAGTAAATTTCGTGCAATTTAATTTTCGCAGCTATTAGTAAGTATACAGCCTACGCCGCAGACGAAACTAAACTCCGGTTAAGTCCGTCTGCGAAACGGCGCCCAAATCCCAGCCTCGTTCCAGGTCGTCCTCGGCGATTTGGGATGTGATTTCACCTGTTCACCTGTCAAGCTTGTCGAGAAAATTCGCCCAGGACGCCTCGCGCTATAGCGCTTGGTTCCAAGCCTCCTCATGTAACTCGGATAGCGCGAACTGGCCTGGGTACGAGGCTGCCCAAATCCTTGTTCTGGGCCCCCACCTGTGTACCAGGATTTGAGTGCGTGCCATGATTGGCCTGTTAAGAATGCCATTGTCGATTGGCCAATCAAGATAAACGAAATTTAAAACGCACTTCCGGTAATTCGTTTCAGTTCGTTGGGGCCCAGAACAAGAATATCACCGCTGCTGGCAGACGTTACTAACCGAGGTTAAATTACATCGGCGACGCAGGCTATAAGTACAGTGAAACGTCTATTAAGTGGACACTAAGCTGGGTCCCGAAATTAACGTCTTATATTTCCCTGTATAACGAACCCCTATTCAGCGGACACCTCTATTAAGCTACCCTGGGTACCATGAGATTTTTCTGGCTTGCGGCGGGAATTTTCGGTGTTGGCCGTAGGCCGACACATCTTCGGCTGTAGGCCGAAACCACGAGCGGCGTAGCCGCGAGAAAACCTTTTCGCGCGGGTCACTGTAAAGACTTGACAGAAACCGGAAACCGCACTAGAAAAGTCTCTGGCACCCAGGGTAGTATTAAGCGGACGCGGGAACCAAAATAAATTGTATGTGGCTAATTTCTATTGTTAAAAACCTCTATTAAGCGGACACCAGGCTAAATTGTCAATAGTAGTATTGGATTACGTCCTTGAAATACGTACTGTAGTCGATTAATTAACCTAAGGGTTAAGCCACTAAGCCTCCTTCAAAGCGCCAATAAATTACTATTTTTGTAAAACCACTTAGTGTTGTGGTTGCCATGTATTCTTTACATTTAAATGAAATTAGTTGATTCCTCGCGAACTTTGTCAGCTCGCTCATTCAAGGGAGCGATAATCCATGACCAAGGCCAGTCTTGGCATAGGCATAGGCATAGCAATCATTTCCGTTTGAGTTCTTTGCCAAAACTGAAAAAAAAAAACATTTTTTTTCTTTCCTTTTTGGCTCTCTTTCCAACTTTCACAACGCGCTAGCACGGAAACGCTTGCTACCCAGCCTAGGCCATAGGAGCTGTAATTCAGGAGCCAGTTGCTTATGTCAGCCATAACTGTTATCACCTCACACTAGCCTATTTAATGCCAGATGCGAGTGGTTCAGTTATATGTAACCAGCCCCAGAAAAGTAGGGCCCAGTTGTTTAAAATCTGGATCACGCTATCCACTGGATAAGTCTTTATCCAATGGATAGTGCAATTGGTTTCGGCTAACGCTTGGCCATTGGATAGTGATTTATCCCGTGGATAGCGCTATCCCAAATGTTTGAAAAACCGGGACCTGCTGAAGACCCCATGCACATGTCACAGTTACCAGAGTTAACCATTCATAGATGCCATTGGCAAACCAATGAACTATAAGCCCTGGAGACACTAAAGTGTTGTATAGACTTAATTGCCATAGTTTGTCTTGACATAACATCTTAAATTATTTTAAAGTATTTCCAAGAGCTCCTCTTGTTAAATCGACCTCAATAGGGAAGACATTGGCTTCCTTAAGTACTGAATAGGAATTCTCGTGGTACTCTGTAACAGCTGCCACAAATCGCTGCAGTTGAAAAACGATGTCTTGTACTGTGGAAATTAAAACAAAAATCAAGGGTTCCTGTGAGGCAACTCGTAAATTACTCATAATGGACAGCATTAGTTTACAGAGGAAAGAAAAGAAGAAGGGACGGGGTGAACATAAAAAGCTTCAGCCTCCATTCTTCGTTTTAGGAACAACAAGGGAACTGGTGGGAGCTAAAATGCCTTCCTACAAATGTTTCTGGTGTCGTTACGCTGTTACGCGCCAGTTAGCTATTAAATTATTTTTTACCCTGTCCCTAGTAACAATCCCAAACGTCTTTGCAAAAGTTAACTCGATCCAGTACCCTCCTCATCTCTAATGGAGAATGGGTCCAAATTTGGGTGCTTGGTAGCACACGCCCACCTAAAACCTCCCTGGTGATCCCCTGGAATATTGACAGACAAGTTCCTGCTCGTCACTTTAACTCTTAAGTTGTTCAGTAATTCACGAGTTAAACCATTACAGAGTATGGTGCTTTAACAAGAAAGATGTAAAGTAAAAATGGACCGCTGACTAGTCAGTTGCTTGGTATAAATTATTAAGGTACTGTAATAATTAATTTGACTGACCTGTAAACTAGCTTTATAGCTAAGTGTTAGTCACGTTAATAAAGTATGTACAGTATGTATGTAATTATCCACCACAGTGTCACGTCACACCTTTTGTTACAAGTAAAGTTAACCAATTTAGAAACGTACCATGTTTTTGATCAAGAAGCTCAAGCTTAACCAAGACATCTGACCTTAGCTTTGCAAATCTCTCTCTTGCTAACTGACGACAACGCAACACAACTCTAGCAAAACAAATGAAAGTAGTGAGTAGTTAAAACATAATATCAAGAATGAAAACATAATAGCTATGTAAATCATTTCAGTGAACATGTGACAGTTGATATTACCTCTAACTGGTCAAAACGTGAAGTCTCAGTAAAAACAAAGTTTTTCAGTTTGATCACCAGTAAGGCTCTACCAAGATGAATGTGCTTAAGCACTGCTTATCTTGTGGCTTGTAGATACTTTGCACACATTTGACTCATGGTTGACAAGCTCTGTCATGTTCTTACCTTATGCGTTTTTTTCCTTTTTTGGAGCATTGCAACTGATGCAAAGTTGGGTATTTTATGTGATAAATATTGCAAACAATAACAAACAATACCAAAGTATAAGTTCAATTTTTGTTTCCTTAGTTACAAGGAGAGCTGTTGTCCTTGAGTCAAAAAATCACTCATGAACTTTTCCAACAATGTTAGGAGCAGTTGCATCCTTGTTGGTAGTGGTGGGGAAGCGGATGCAACAACTCCCAACAATGTTCGAACCGAATACATCATGGAATACATCATGGAAAGGATACGAATACATCATGGAAAGGATACAATAAGACTTTGTAAGCCATGTGTAATGCACGTGTGTGGCCCAAACAATGTTGGAAGAGCTGTGCAAACGAATTCAACATTGTTGCTTATGCTTTGGCAATCACAGAACAAAACAAATGTAGGGAGTTGTAGGCTCAAAAGTTTGACTGGTTTCAAACTTTGCGTAACAAATCCCAACAACACACAACAACATGCAGCAGGGTGTGCAAATGGATACAACATGTAACATCCAACAATATTGGGAATTGTTCAGTGCCGGATCCAAACCTTGAGATAAGGAGGAGGGGGTGGCAGTCATCCAGACCTTCGGATAAGGGGGGACTCCAAAAAAAATTTTTTCCGCCCATCGGGCCTCAGTTTTGTCTAAAAATAAGGGGGGGCAGGCCATCCAGGCCCCTCCCCTGGATCTGCCACTGTTGTTAGCCAACAATGTTGTGTCCATTTTGGCCTTTACATGGGGCTATACTTATGAAAGCAAAATCATACCTATAATCGTAGTTTCCAGTCTCCACTCTGTACAGTGATTCATGCAGTGCCTGGAGAAATTTAAAGAAACCAGATATGTTAGAAAATATACACATCTGACCCCAGTTGTTCCAGGCCCAGTTAAAGCTCTAATCTTTAATCCTGGTTAACTACAAACAGAGCATACAAGTTATGACAAATAATAATTCAAAACCTAATTAATAATTTATTCAGAAAGAAAAAATAAAATACATTAATGTTTAATGAGTGTCTTTATATCTGATAGAGACACGGCTCACAACACATCCAATTTTTTAGACCAAAATAACCCCAAATATAAACATTAGTGAAAGAATGAGTTGATCTATATCAGAGATTTTGAAGCCGTTCCAAAAACTTGTGGTCCTGTATTATGAGGTTTAAAAACTCTTGGCAAACCTACATTTAATAATACACTCCAACTCGTTTTTTAAACAGTACCTAATCCTGGATTGGGATGAATCAACCTTCTTTGAACAACTCAGCATGGTCTTTGAGGTCTTATCTGCATTCACCCTTTCATTATTGTTTTTCTAGCCTTGTGTCTTACATTAGTTCACGAATAAAATAACAATATCTATTAACTCTTTTCCCACTGAAATTGTTTTCTTCCACAGTTTTTTTCAGTCAGTTTAAAAATAAATTTGCTTTATCTTGGAAATTAAATACAGTGGAACCCCGTTCATACGACCACCGTTGGGCCATAAAATCCTGGTCGTGATAACGAGGTGGTTGCATTAACAGGGTCTTCAAAATAATAAAATGACCGCATGTTTTTTATGTTTGGTTTTGAAGAATATAGCCGTAATAACGAGGTGGTCTTATAAACGGGGTGGTCGTAAGGCGGGGTTCCACTGTAGGTGTAAAACCTCAAGCAATTCTCATGAGCTACTTCCATTAGGATCTATCAACTGCCAGTACTCATACTGGGATTATACATTTAGAATTTAGAACTTACTGCATAAGCATACTCTTCATCATCCATCTCCTTGACTTTTAAGCAGTAAGACTAAAATGACGATGGAAATATCATCAAATTAAAATTCAGCAGAATAGCTGCACCAGCACTAAAAAAATCAGGCCTGTGCTCTAGCAGAGCCCAGTGGTCCCTGTTGCCTGCAACTTTTGCTCCCACGAAAAACTTGAAAATCTCCGTTCTTTCACATAAATTATATGCTGAGCACCCTGGATTTCACATGTACAGAGCACTGGGTTCCTTGCAGTTTTTTCTTACAGCAGTCCCTTGAAAATAATGAAATTTTCATGATGTCACTTTTGTTTTGTTTTTATCTATATAGCTGGTGATAGACAATATTATAACATTTTCAAATTTCTGTGGTGGTCACATGAACTCATATTTATTTATAATTATTACTTGCTTGGTGAATGCAGCACTACAATGTCTTTGGAAACTAACTGCTAAATAAATGTGTGAGTCTTCCATTTTTTCGCCATCTGTTTATAGAAGATGGGTCACTATTTCAATAAAGATATGTCGAGCTAAAAGGACGGGCAACACTTACAAGGTATTCAAACTTTGCATCAGCATATTTCTTGATGGTTAGTTTGGTGTCTGGAATAGCCTATTCACAAAAAGTCAAATAATAATAATGATGATGATAATTTAATAATTTAATAATAATTTAACATGTACTACTGTTATAAAAAAGCTAATGTGATTTCATCCAGTGACCAACATTTGCTGCCATCTTAAAGAAAAAGAAAAATACATATTGAAAATATTATTATAACTATTTCAATAACTTATTAATAATTCATAAAGAAAAAACAAAAGAAATTAATGTTTAATGAGTGTCTTTCATCTGATAAAGACAAGACTAAACTTTACACCTAATTTTTTAGACCAAAATAACCCCAAATCTAAATATTAGTGCAACAATGAGTTGATCTAAATCTTCAGAGAATTTGAAGCTGTTCAAAAAACTCGCAGTAGTGTATAATCAGGTTTAAAAACTTGAGGGAAAGCCATCCCTGCTCGTTTTTTAAACTGTACATATAATAGTTAGCACATCAAGGCAAGCTGATAATATTTTTTATTATATAGACACCGATGAAATACCAGGATTTGAAGGATTTGACGAAAATTTGGTATCCTGCAAAGATACAATTTTTATCCTTCACAATCATGTGAAGATATGACGGTTGTCATGGCTACTTCAGTCTCAGCGAAAAGGAAAACAGGATCATGTCAGCATCTCGCCGTCGGTGTCTTTATAATAAACAGAATATTACATGCCCGCTTGTGGATACGAATTTTTCCTCCCGTGTTCAACTCGATATCTCACGAGTGAGAACAGGGAACAAGTGAGATATTGAGTTCAACACTCGAAGATAAAATTTGTATCCACACGCATGCATGTAATATCCTAGATTTATTCATTTACATTGATTTTAATATCAGTTTTTAATCATACTTTTTACAGATCCCTACCTTTGAGAGATAGGTGTTGAGATCACTGAGCATAGGCTTTACTTTCTTTAAATAATCCAGTCCTAGTTTCTCAAAACTCCTAAAAAACAAGATAAATAAAAAAATTATAACAATTTATTGTCAGTAACAGGACAGAAAAAGAGAATTAAAAATTGAATACACTGAACTATGCTACTGACATTAAAATAATGGGGGAAGTAGATTCTTTTTCTGGGCAAGTTACCTTTCATCCTCAATAATAATAACCTGATGGGCAAATGCCTAGTTCAGACAAGGTTCTTTATCTTCTAACTAAATCACACAAAAAACCTTAGACAAGCATGCAACTACCCAGAGTGAGCAAAAGTTTTATAACACATGAACTTCTTTGATATGAAGTAACCCATCAATGGTTTCTGAACAGAATAAGATTGGTATTGACATTGATTTGTAAAATTAAGGAGCAAAAAAATACCTGTGGGCCTCACTGAAAATTGCAAATGCCTCACTTGCATTTGGTTGTAATTCTCTTACACCAATAGCAGCAAATATTTCTCCAAGTTCTACAGAAAAAATAAGAATTATTAACTAAAGAACAAAAAAAAATTAAAGGACTCATGCTTCACCAATAGAGGTACCATTAATTTGTGCAGGGGCCTACATGTATTTTCAGACACAATGTATGATTTGGCTACATATTAATCCCATCAACATACAACATGTGGGGGAAATGCCTCAGAGGCTGATGGCCTTATCAGCAAGGAACAGCAGCTAAGTGTAATGCATAATCAACCATAGGCATCCTCCCAGCATACATTACCAAAGGGATAAAAGGTAGAAAGCATAACACTTCACAACCACTGAAGCAATGTCATGCATTGCAAACATTTATAATGGCCTGACTTCAACCAGTAAATCCCTAAAGTCCCCTGTGAAGGTATTTGAGCACCCTTCCCCCACCCCCCTAAAAAAATCTCATACAAAGGACTGCTGGCCAGCAATGTCTTGAGTTTGACTTAGCATAAATACCATTAAGCCACATTTAAAGCAAGGTTAACCTCCAGCCAAAGCCGTTACAGCTGTAGTAGTTTCACCCATTTTTGAATGTGACCTGCTTAACCCATTCGCCCCTGAACCGCCCGTAACCGCCCGTGCAGATCCAGGTCCTTTCTACCCTTTGTGACGTCATCAGTTTTAACGGTCAAGGACAACTTTCTTCGCTAACTTGTGTACAGTAAAGAGATCTTTCAAACCATACCAGAATGAGCACAATTCAGTCAAGGACACCGGAGAAAGACGCAAAAAACCACGTGACATTGACCTGAAAATCTCCATGAAAATCTTGTTCCATTGCCCACCTACCTTTCCTTTGTGGATTAGGATTCTAGGATTTTCGAAAGGATTTTTGAGAAGGGTGGTTTTACTTCGGTACTAAATGCCCAGCAAGAGAAAAAAAAAATGAGGCAAGAAAGCGAAAAAAGAAGGGAGGAGAAAAAGCGAAAAGTAAAAGTCAAGACTGCTGTGTCACTTTTAAACCCAAAAACTATCTCGAAATTTTGCTTTCTGCGCATGCCTGAACTTCGCAAGCTGATGTTTTGCATCTGGATCAGAAGGCCGCCAAGTGTACGACCTGTAAACCGGTTTGTGGTAAGTTTTAGCCCTTTATAGCACGACAGTGACCAGAGAACCACTCGACTAGCTTCAAAACGCGTTTTTCGGCAAAATCTCCAGGAGCGAATGGGTTAAGATGGCAGAGTTTGATTGCATCTTCCTGTAGCCTAGCATTTTTACAACAGTTGGGAATCACCACCTCTGAATGCACAAATAATGACCTCAACCTCCCTGGTCCAAGGGTGGTTTGACTTGGAAGGTAAGTATTGATGAGTCAGGCACGTTTTTTCACTGGAATAAATTTCAAGGTGATGGTGCCTGTTGGTGGCCACTATTTAGGTAGACCCCACATACAGCCTGGTTGCCACAGAAACCTCCTTACAATGGCAAGATTGCCACAGGCCTCCTCCCCCACCCACCCACTAATTTTTTAGACACCAGTAACTTCCCAAGCACCTCAACTGCTGATGACTTTAATTACCATAGAAAAAAAATTATTTGAATAGAATGAACCAAAAATTCAAGGTCACCTTTATGCGTCTGTGCCAAATTATAGAAACTTTGAAGGTACTGTCTTGCATGATCAAGAAGACCTGATAAACGAAAAGCAATACTTAGTAATAATTTATTGTTCTCTCATCCCTCTGACCCTGTTGCTTTTTTATCAGAGTTTTTGTTGGTGATCTTCTATTAGAAATAGTTTGTTTGTGACACCTTAGACTGTGTAGATTATTATGATACACTACAAACTTGTAACTGCTTGTAGTATGTAATAACTTAGTTTGCAGAGTAAAGTATGTTTAAACCCTTCAAAATCACATCCTACATGTATGTATTCATACAGTCCATCGCATTACATCTACATGTATAATATACAATGTTATCTTATCAAGACACACCAGACTTACCCTTGTAAATATTAGAATTTTGTTCAAGTTCTTCCAATTTCTTAATAAGACCATCTGAAAGGAACAAAAAGACAAGAATGAATAATTGTTTACCTACAGGAACTATTAAAGCTTATATTGCATGGTACAGTGTACGTGTAAAGACAAACAGAGGTTCAACAGTTCTAGGTTTTTACCCACCAACAGATTTGTACTGACTATAAAATTTTGAACCACACCAAAAAAATCCTGAAGGCTCATTTTTTAGAAGTAGACAAATGATCCCACCATCCTATTTCTGAATGTTAAATAGGGCAATTTTTCTTTGTTTGCTATATCAAGCCCTTCCCTAACTAAAACATTGCAATACCGTAAAATTCCGAAAATAAGCCCCGGGGCTTATATTTTTCAAAGGCCCTTTTTGAGGGGCTTATTTTTGGAGGGGCTTATATTCGGAGGGGCTTATATACGGAGGGAAATTTGCATTTCAAAATCGATTGGGCTAGCCTTATAGTTGGAAGTAAATTTACTGTTTTTGCTTTGTTTTACTTTGTATTTGAGGGCAATTTTCCAAGTACAAGCCCCCAGTGGGCTTATATTTGGAGGGGCAATTTTACGGAGGGTTTTTTGCGTTACCGGTTTGGGGGACTTATAATTATTTGGAGGGGCTTATTTTCGGAATTTTAAGGTAGATTATTTGTCTGCCATTAAATAAGTCAAGAATAATAAATGCTCTCTAATTCAAAATTATTGTTTTCTTCACTGTAACACTGTTACGCTGGGTTCCAGAGGCTATTTTTTTCTTATCTAATTCCTGATAGTTCGCAGTGAAGCAGTGACAAAGAGGCACAAAGCATCAAGAGAAAAATTATAACCACTGGTCACAGGAGCAATCTCAAGCAGTGAAGTTCTTTGATGAAGCCAATCAAGTTCGCTGTTACATCGTTAATTCCCTGCAGACATGGGAGTAACCAAAAGGTGACCAGTTCAGATTCTGAACTGATTTCTGGCATGGAAATGAGGTTGCTTGCTTGCTTGTGTGACCAGAGGTCTGTCTTGGGAGCTAAATCATCAACAGTAAGCATCCTTTATTTCTAAAAGTGTCAATGTATTTACCACTAAAAGTACTGAGATTGCTTTTTTATACCCTACTGGAGACAAGAATTCAAATTTTATGACCTACGTTAAGGTCTAGCCATTTTCAGGGCAAAGGCAGTACCTTCTTTTTCAGTAATTTTAAAACCCTGTTATTGTACCTAGAATATAACCAGTGACTTTCCACTTCACAGATGAGTGCTCGTAAAAAATGGGCCATAAACCTTACAGTGGTTTAACCCTTTCACATCTAGGCCATGTTATGGCAATTTTATTTGCCACTCTCAATTTTAACTATGTAATGGTGTTACCATTGAAATAAAGTATCTTTGGCGGAACTTTTGCACTTAATATAAAACGTAGTTATAATAAATGATTTCAATGTTTTGGGATTTTGGAAAAAGAAATTTAAAAATCTTTTTGTGAATTTTATCCCTGGCCACTATGAGGAGTAAAAAGGTTGAGACATTTGCACTTTGAGAACTATTAATGAGAAGATATTAATTTGCCCAACAGATAAGTCATTTGAAATAGAATCATGATATACAAGAATACATCATAAATTATTTACAACTTGACTTGGTATACATTATTTTGTAAATATTTTCTCTCTTACCATTACATAAAATTGCTCTGCTAAGCCCCAAAGCATCTGCAGTTGATGAACTCATATGCTCCACAATTCGATGCTTCATTTTCTTTAAGACTATCCAAGATATAGAAAGTACTTAGTAATGATACAATAGTGAGTGATTGCAGCAAATAACCGCAAATATTTTACAGAAAACACACAAAAGCGATCAGAAGAAAAAAAGAGTTACTTTAATACTGGAAGTGATTATTAAGTGTAACTTATAAAAAGATATTATCAGGCCTTTCTAACAATTTCAATTCAAGAGTTTTTGGATTGATTTCAGTTCCTTTAGGCAGTTCTATGGATTTACCTATTCTAAAAACTCTGTTAAGTTACTCAATAAGGTTAAAAATATAAGGATTATTTAATTATCTTATTCATTTTTGTCTAGTTAGTAAAAAAATAAATATCACAATAATAATTTAAATAACAGTAATTAATACTAGAGCCAATAAAACTACATTTTCATTCACAATTTACTTACTTATGTCTAAAGTTTTTCCTTCTGCTGGCTCAGCATGTAATTTGACATAATTGATAATCACTTCATCCTGACAAAATTGAAGTGTGAATTAAAGTTTGAAATCAAAACATACAAATAAGGTAAAATTCCACTGCTCTTTACTTAGTTAATTCAGAGGTGTACTGTTTTGTTGTTTTTCTCCGGAAATTTTGAGATCAGGCAAAATTTTCTGAGACCCAATTTTGGTAGAACCATTCACCAGAGCCCCTTTATATGTAACTTGCAGCGTGCAAAGAAACTCATGTCTGATAGCCCAGGGCTACTGGATTTTGCAATCAGGCTAGTGAATCCTGTTATTAACTTTCCCAAAGGGCAAGTGAAGTAAATGGGGAAATTTAAATTACAGAAGAACAGTACTGTAATCAATGCTGCTCATCAAAAGTTTTTGGCGCTACTTAAAAGAGTCTTGGGCTACTACATACTAGCAACAACTTGCCCGAATGGTAAGCCGTACTGACTTTCTTTGCACCCTGTGTAAGACAGCTGGGAGGGTTCAGTGTGCTAAATGTTGATAGCCCATTCCTGAGAGCCAAATTTCTGAGAATAACGTTTTCTCAGATCTAATGCAGTGTCCAGTGTCCAGTTGTCATGTCTCTGCATTATGAAGTTGATTTGCTGCAAAGCATTTTTCATTTTAATACATCATAAAAAAGGTTCTTTTAAAAGCCACCAAGTCATACCTAATGAAAACTTACGCCTATATATCTATAGCAACTTTGCCTATAAAAGCAAAGTTTTTTGTATGTTTTCTACACTAACGCAAAATGCCTGTCTGCTGCAAAACAACTTCAACATGCAGCAAAAAGATTTTTAGCAAAATGACCCTGTAGCAACATGACCGACAAGCAGACAGGGCACTCGCTTGGGACAAAAAATTAGTTAAGGGTATACTTCCTTAATAACACGGCTGTAAATTTCCTGGTTTATATTTCACTGAAGCCTTTTTATTTCATGATCAAAATAAGAAATCAATAAGACTTCAACTGTACATGATATAACGTAGTTTCTTTGATGGGAAATAGAAGTCAGTCACAATAGTCATGGTCAGCTTATTTGAGATAAACGTTTTTTCAGATGCATCAATAATTAATGACACGTATGGACAATAATAAATCAGGATCATTCAATCATGTCATGAAAACCTATTTGGTTTACAACAAACGTATGTACTTCAGTATCTTAGCTAGAGCCTTGAGAAGGACTATAGATTTAAGTCTGACACTGCTCATTTTGTGCCGTCTCACAACTATAAAAATACCGACCTTAACTGCTTGAATAGCTCTTGCCACGTCTACTTTGGTCTTTCCTCTCAAAGATTTCCCATTTACACCAACAATTTCATCTCCAGCTTGAAGGACACCGTCTCGGGAAGCTGGTGTGTTATCAAATACTTGAACTACATAAAGGCATGGGCAAAGAGGAGCTCCTCCTCCTATACTGATACCGATTAAGTTCTGTTTGTCCTTCTTCAAAACAACTGATCCCGGTTTGCCTTGTAGACCCCTGAGAGACATAACGAAAATTATCAAACATAATGCTGGTTTACATAAAATCGAGGCGAGTGAAAATCTTTCTGAAGCCTACTCTTTTCATTTCCTCACCTTGGGTCTATTTCATACTCATATTCCATCATTTTGGAAGCAGAAATCTTTAAAACCGTAGAGCAGATATTTAGAGTTTTTGTGAAAGTTTTTGATTGATTCGTGAGCCTTTAGCAACGTTTCAGCGGGTATTGCACAGAGAGCATGCGTAGTAATATCGTTTGGAACCAGTCCTCGCGCACCTTGCAAAGATCTGAGGTTGTCCTGGACAACAAGAAACAGTGCGAATTTTGAAAGTTTTGTCTTTTAACTTCAGTGCAAATGTAGCCTTTTTCTTCTTATCCTTTACAAGATGAGTCGTCTTTACGACACAATAGAGCCTTCTGTCATCGATGAGCAGATGCTCAAAGATGCTGTCGAGGAGCAGGGACCGAAAAGTGAAGCCGGGAGGATCGCCAAACAAGAAGGCATTGATTTTGGAGACGTCCTTTCGCTGAGACTTGATTTTAAAAGTAGGTGTTTATTATTTTTGCCAACAAAGATATCATGTGCTGAATTAGATGATTGATTTATCTTGTTTAACGAAGACTTTTATGTGTTTTTTTTTTCGCAAAGATATTTTAAAAATCGACAATTTATGGAGCTTTGTCAACTTGACGAAGTTGCAAATGGATAACAACATTATTGAAAGGATAGAAGGCCTGGAAATGCTCGTTAACTTGGAGTGGCTAGGTAAAAAGTAAATAAGACTAAACTCCTTTGTTAGTGTATCAATAATCTTTTCCATTGGTCTTTCTGGGTGAGGCGGGGGTTGGAGGGGCGGGGGGGGGGGGGCGTGGGGGGTAGTTTGGGGCCGGCGCCCCCCCCCCCCCCCCAATTTGGATGGACCATTTTCCTATTATAAAATTTAATCTTGGCTTTTTTGTGTGTTTTAAATTAAAAGTTTTTTTTTCTCTTTCTCCCCAAAAAAACCCCAATTTTTCCTTTTTTGTGCGGGAATATGCAGTATGATTTTGAGATGTTATGAAAAGAAACGAAGGACGATTTAAGAACAAAAATTTGTAAAATAGGGGTGGTAAAGGAAACAAGCCTGATTGTAGGGAAGGTTAAATAATAAGGTTCTCGCCGCAACGCCTATGTGACTAGTTTAACGTCGTTGTGGGGGGGGGGACGGGGGTGGGGGGAGCGGGGGGAGGGGGGGGGGGGAGTGGGGCATGAGTGTAAGTTTGAGACAGCTGCACCCCCCGCCCCCCAATTTGGATAGACCAATTTCAGTATATTAAAATTCATACTTGGCTTTCTAGATGATGTAAATTACAAAGTTGTTTTTCTCATAATCCTCAAATAAACCCCACATTTTTCTGATTGGGTGCGGCATAATAATCAAGTGAATACAGTACAGTATGTCCAGAAGATATATAGACTTAAGGTCAGGAGAAGTCTCTGCTTACAGCCTTTAATTGATATAGGTTGGATTCAAAGAATGTTTGTACTGAGGCCAAAACTGAATAAAATGCTTGAAGAGTTTCTCTAATTAGTGGCAGTCATATCTTTTCATTTACTATGTTCTCTGGCAGTTGTCTGGGAAGTAGCAGTTATGATTTTAATACCTGTACTTTTGCTCATTAGCTCTTATTTCAATTGCAGATTTGTCATTTAACAACATTGAAGTCATTGAGGGGCTTGATAAACTCACCAAACTTAAAGATCTTACCCTTTACAACAACAGAATCTCAAAAATTGAAAACATGGACTCCCTGTCTCAGCTTCATGTGTTTTCAGTCGGGAATAACAGCCTCAAACAGCTGGATGATGTAAGTACTCAAATGATTGGTCGATTTCAATGAAAAACTGAATAGAAGGCAGATTTCTTGTGCATAATTGGTGTTCCTAGAAAGGTTTATCTCATAATAATAATAAAGTCTCTTTATATGATGTTCAGCGGGAGGCCGGATGAGTATGAGTTCTGAAAAGTAAAACATAACAAAGGGAGATCATTTATTGACCTCCAGAACATTGAGAAAACCATAATTTTTTAGCCCAGTGTGATGATGAAGTTTACTGTCATCACCTTAATTATTAAACCATTATCCATTGACAAAAATGGAAAGAGAGCGCCTTAAATTTAGCGAAGTTATCAAGTTTAAAGGTGATATGTCCAAAGAAAGGGATTTATTAGATATTGCTCCACAAAGTCGCAAAATTTTACAGTCATTTGTAATAACTGGTGCCAGGACGTTATGAACTTGCCCCACACTAGTTAAGTGTCTTTAAAATTTTGCTACTTGGTAGAGCTAATATCTTCATAAAGTTTTCACTCCAGGGAAGATTTTTCTGTGTTGTTGTTAATGATTTTAAGGTATTCTTTCCAGTGGTGTTGATGAATTATTTATAACAGGTCCCAGCCAAAAATTAAAAAAACCACAACACATCTACTTAATTAGTATAAGGAAAGGTTGATAATTGGATACATTGCATTCAATTTCAGGTTATCTACCTTAGAAGGTTTAAAGTCTTAAGAACTTTGAACCTGAGTGGAAACCCTTTTTCTGAAGAAGCAAATTACAAAGAGTATGTCATTGCACATCTGCCAGAGCTTGTTTATCTGGACTTCCGTCTGATTGATGAGTCAGCTCGTGAAGCTGCAGCTGAAAGGTACAAATATTCTGTTGAGGAGCGAGTACATGATGAGACAATAGCCAAGAGAAAGCAAGATGAATTAGAAGAAAAGCAGAAGGAAAGACAGTTACATAAGGTAATTATTTTATAGCTGTATCATTTTAATAAATTAACTTGAGATGAAGCTGAGTTTATGCAGCTGTCTTGAGAGGTCGTACTAAATTTTTAAATTGAAATTATCCTGTAAGTAGTGATGATCAGTACAATAATTTTAAGAATTATTTTGTTTAAAATCTTCAGCTTGCCTATGTGGAGGATCTAAATGGTCCATGGCTCTTTGAGAGTATGTATTCAGAGGATCCTGAAGCCAGCAAACTAGCAGCCCTTCCAGGAATGGAAGAATTGTTAGAAGGGTATCCTTTCACAGAAAACAATATTCCAAATTATGTTGTCTCTACAAAGATGAGTTATGTAGAACAATGTCAGGACCAAAAATTCCATTCCACATACTTGTAATGGTGAGACATTGTTTTAATCAAACATTTCAGGGAGTCAGTGGGTGTCTGCACTAAGTCTAATGCCTGCTGGTGGGGTGTCCACAATATTACAGAAGTGTTCATAAGGCAAGTCAGCATATCAGTTGAAAATTAAAATTCTGGTACCGGTAATCGTTTTGCACTAATTCTTGTTACGATTTACATTGATTACAAATGACCCAACTATAGAAGAAGAGTATTATTAGTATAGGTAATAGCATATACTGCAGGGGAAGTTCTCATTAAGTGCTGGCAACCAGATAAAAAACCAGCTACGGTTGACTCTCGGTATTAATAAACTCGAACCCTCGCTAACTCGTACCTTGCGCTAATTCGAACCAAAATCGATTTTCCCTGGATTTCCGTCATAAGTTTACTGTAATTTTACCCTTAGTAACTCGAACCCCTGATAACTTGAACCTCCCACTAACTTGAAGTAACTTTTGTTTCCCCTCAGATCATTTATGTAAAATTTTACCCTCGATAACTCAAACCATATTTTGAGCCCTTAAAAGGTGGTGTCCAAAACATTGAATTTTGAATTTCCCATTGACGTGTTGTACGCATATAGTTTCCTTGTGAAGGTTGATGTTGTTTGTCGCAAATCTATGTGAAACAGCTTTACTTCTCAAAACAGTAAAACCCATGCTCGATTTAGGCAATGTTTTGTTACTGCGTTATGTTCTGAGTTATAATATAGAAGTATCTTTCAATTTTCACCTAACATTCCTACAATTAAGTGTGATTAAGAATTAATGTTCATTGTGCAATAAAAACTGTTTTTTCCTTACTTCCGGCAATTTTCTTCGAGCTCCCAATAACTTGAACTCCCAGTAACTCTAACTATTTGCGATTTCCCTTGAAGGTTCAAGTTATGGGGAGTCGACTGTACTTTAAGGTCTGAGCCGTCTTAACTTTTGGTAAAAATGGGTTAAGTGAGGGAGTGATAGCCTCAAATTGCCTGCAGCACTTGATTGCCAAGCGGCCTACTTTTACATATGAGAACTCTGATTACACTTTAACTGACTCAAGATACAAAGAGAAGTTCACAAGCATCTGTGAGGAAATATTTGAGTTTGGTTTAAAGGAGCATGAAAAACGAGAGGCAGAGATTGCTTCATTTTTCTCTTGTTTAGAGGAAGCAACAAAAGATAATAATAATGCCGGAGTCAAACATATTCACAACTACATCGAGTACAAGAAAAAGGTGAGGACTTATTATGAAAATCTAGTCTCTATAGCAGGCATATGAGAGATAAGGGGGTGGTAGCCATTCTTTCCATTTGTCAATAAGCCAGGGTTGTATGTTTACAAGAAGAACCCAGCTAGTATTTATAAACATAATTTACGAAAATTCAGTCCTCATAGGCCTGCTGTAACAGTTCAACATTCAGGATTCTGTCGTAGGTGTATTGAGCTGCTCATGCTCAGGGTGAAGAGATGTAGTCTAATAATGTTTTCTATTTTCTATTTCATCATTTTTTTACTGCAAAGTCTGCAACCATTAATCAGTCCATTTTGGCTTGCATTATCAGGTATTTTTAGACTACACCAGCATGACTGATCAAAGTCACATGGAAAGCTTGATGAAGGAGATTCTGGGGGAAATCAGAAAACTGTGGGACACCCTCATGGGACTAGAAATGGAACTGGTGGATCAGTTGGAGGTGCGTTGCAATCTTGTCATTGATTTTATGATTTTTTTAGAATTGAAGACAAAAGAACAACTATCTTAACGTTCTTCATTTTTGTTCCCTTAACAGGACACAATCAAAGACTTTGAAAGGAACATGGCAGACCTCGTGACTGCCTTTATTGAGCATGTGCAAGGATTATATCCTTTATAAAATAACATGATGCAAAAAAGTCCCGGGATCAGTTTTTAGAAAACCGTGATTTTCCCATACATTTTCTGTAATTTGACAGAATCAAAATTACAGAAAATGTATGGAAAAATTGAGCTTTTCTAAAAACTGATCACGGACTTCTTTGCACTCCAGATTTAGGGAATTGTTTCTTTGAACTAGAAAGTTACTCTTTTCAAAGAGAAAGCATCAAATCTGTGAATTCGGGAAGAATAAGCAGACTTTGAATTCCAATACAAATCTTCGAATTTCCCGCCATCTTACCCTGATTACTAATGATGCAACTATGAGCGTGAACTCCTCTTTTGTGTTACCAAGATTAATTTCAATCGTTCACTTTCAATGACAACCTCAAGTGCTTAAACAACTTACAGAGACTACAGATCCGTTTGCTACAAAACGTCTCTTTATTAAAGTGTTGGCAACACCTAAGCTTGCAGAGCTAACACAGTCAAAGTAGTCGGTATTTTTTCTGTAACTCTTTTTACAATGACTCAGTTAAGAGACATGGAAAACGCACATAACGAAAAAGTGTCGGATATCGCTGTAGTCACACTTGAAAAGCTGATGAAGAATGAACTGGAGGAAGATCTTCCTGATGACCTGAGAATGGTAAGTGCTAGTAGGCATTTTCAGTGATATTGTCACATCCACTTTTTCACACAATTACATTAAGCGTTAAATGCAATTATCGTCGGTCTTTATGGTAATTAGTAACGGAAAGCCAAAAGCCAAACGTCCTTCCCTCGAGGCAGTGATTTCCTTTGTTTACTCTTCTTGAAGTATAATTGACTTTGGAAAGGATTGATAGCAATCTCTTGGTATAAAGGGTTTCGTTTATCGTTTGTCTCAAGATCGTCACCTAGATACTGATCGAGACATTTCGACCACGTACTGCACGTTTTCGACAGGCGATAGTGTCGATTTACTGAGTACGACTATATGTACCACCATGGTTGTTAGTGATTGGTGTATCAGGAACCTCGTTCATGGTTGATGGGTCTCTATCCAAAGGATTGTTGGCATTGTTAGGGGAGGAAACTGTTCCCTCAGCGTTCCGCTGTGGCAGCGATCGGCTGCTATCAACGAGAAACTTTACACACATTAACTACGATGAACAACATCTTTCATGACAATCCCTGGGTACATTCTAATTTCAGACTGCGATCAACCACCTTACAAAATTTGATGACGGATTCGTTCTTTTTGTACAAATTTGTTCATTGATTATTTTTGAAAATTTCGTCAGTGCTGGTCACTTCCAGAATCACAATAAAACAAAATGAAATTACAACTGTGATTACCTTGTGTTCTTTTCTGAAGCTGTTTGTTGACAAGGACACCATTATGAATGCTGTCAGCGCTTCTCATGACACTCACCTTCTCAAGATTGATAACAAGGTAAGAAATTGATGAATCTTCGGTCAGCAGTGACACAGACGACACCGAACAAACATCCCAACTGTCCCATCAGGCGAGTCAAACCTAGTACCTATCACCGGCTTCTTGTTACCAGCGTAAAATCTCAATTAAGCCCCCTCCCCCCCCCCCGGGGGACTTGTTTATTTCTTCGATCCCATCATTCAATGTGGGTTTTAGTGACCTAACGAACAATGACTCGAGAAAGCAAAGTTAGGGAAGTTTTAGGTTCATTAGTAAGATTTATTTTTATTATTTATTATTATTATTTAGTTTTGGTAAAGCAAAGCCTCCGGTAGGTCATTTAGATAAGGTCTCCCGTGATTCAGATAGGTGTTGATGAATGGATGCATTTCACGTTCAAAGTAATTTACATAAAGCGTTTTTTGTTATATGCAAGAATTAAGTATTAGTTTGAGACAAGTGAACTAAAAATGTAGAGAAGTTGGTGGAGGAAACACTTCAAGCTTTATAGTCCTGTTGGAATGAACTGAGGACGTGCATTTTTTTACAATGTGCCAAATTACATTCCTAGTAGGTGGTCCTTCAAAATCGAAAGTGGTCCTTGAAAAGTCCTTAAAAATCGTTGTGAGAAACCAGGGCCTGCCTTCTTACTACGTTGACTGTTACTGCATTTTTAGGAGGATGACATCTTGACCCGTGCCACAACAAGAATGCAGTCACTGAACGAAAAAATCCACAATGACGAGGTGAAGAGAAACCGGAACAGGGTGGCGGAGATCAATAACTTAGTGGATCATTTTAGAGACGAGGCGGAGAGCTATGAGGACAAGGGCCCCATGTAGTGCCTTGCTACTGCAGAGCGGCACTGGATAACTACACGCGGTTCTTATTAACCCTTTAAACCCTAAGATCAAAATTTGAATTCTCATTTGTTGCCCCTATTCATTTCCTACAGAAGTAGTAAGGAGAAGTTTATAAAATATCAAGCGAATTCATCTTGTGTGATAATGTGATAATGTGTGATAATTCGCATGACCACTCTGTTTTACAAAGCATTGATATTACAAGGAGAAATTTGATGCTGATCACTCTTAGGGCTTAAAGGGTTAAAACTGTTGGTGTGGGCGCTTTTTTTATTTTGATGTCAGTTATAAAAAGTGGGTAATGACTAGCCTGCCTAGCTGGCGGTATTGTGTGGGTGCGAGATTAAAGTTTTGGCGGCGGAGCCGTGTTCCAAAAAAAGGGAGTAGGGACCGCTCGAGATATATTACAACGGCTCCGCCGCCAAATCTCACTCGACTACTACACAATACCGCCAGCTACGCAGGCTACTAATGACTGATTGTACAGATTACACTTGCGCGAAGGCGCAGTAGTTCCAGCAGACTGGCCATTGTGGTGTGAACAGCAGTTTCTAGTGAAGTAAATGTAACTGTTTTATGCTACTGTATGACATCCGAACTGTACCTCTTAGTCCACAAGAGCTGTATCAGCTGTTGGTAAGTGTATTTAACATTTTGGATCTTGTAAAGTGTATTATGTTTTGTCACAAAGTGGCCGAACGTTACCGAATGTTCCTATGTTACAGTAAGTGTACTGTTTTGTCATAAAATAACATACATTATATTATATCTTTTATCCGTTGATTTCCTTCAGTTTAACAATATTCTGTATATATACACTCATGTACCGCTCTTGCAGTTTTTACTCAGCAATTTATTCAATAAAACTACTGAAACTTTTATTAACAAATGAAGGTACGTACATTGTATTGGTTGTATAGACTGTATAAATCTTTTCCATTAAATAAACTTTATGCTGAAGTGTTTTGAACATGTATATTTTAATTTATGCTGAATCTTTAACCTTAGGCCCCGTTTATTTGGGGAAAAAACGTTGCGCCGGAAAGAGGGTCACACTCCCAGCCAAGTCAACTTAAGCGAGGTTTGCCCGAACCAAGAGCCGACACCAGCTAGCGCTCTCGCATGTTAACGTTCTGGGGCCGGTTGCTCGAAGCCTGGTTAGCGCTAACCGTTGGTTAAGAGGTATCAAAATGTATAGGTTTCCATGGTATTTAACGCTGGTTAGCACTAACCATGCTTCGAGCAACCCGGGCCTGGTTGTCTTGCCTAGGAGAAGTCGTTACGTCACGTTGCCATAGTAGCAAAATTTTTGGATGACAACAAACCGACAAAGTCACTTAAAAGTCTATTCGCACTATTTCAAACTTTACCGATCTTATTCAGTTTCACTTAATTTGGCAAATCTTGGCGAAATTTTCTTTGGGACCGTATCTATTGCTGTCCAAGTTTAGAAAAAGAGAGCGACAATTTTTGTGTTGTGTTTACCTACTCCATAAAGCGGGCAACGACAGCAAAGAAATGTACAAAATAGTTGTTGTTTGTTAATATAAACGTTTGCCGTTCTCATCGCCGTCGCCGTCGTCGTTGGTTTTCTTGTCATCCAGAAATAGTGCTACCATGATACGCGACGTCACACTTCTCCTCTCTATTGACCCGGCTGGGCGAGCCAAAGTTCGAACAAAGTGTACATATACCCCCCAACCCACCCCTTCGCCCCCAATAAGGCTATGTTCATACTATGCCGGACAGCTTTTTCGCCGACACGAAAACCACGTAAAAGAACGGTGATTTCGACACGATTCAGTAACGGAGCGAAGCTGCACCGCACCGATCTCTAAAGAGGAGAGTCACGTATCAGGCAGGTGTTCACACCATACCGGAAAGCCTTCCGTACCGGCACGAAAAGCTTAGAGCAGGGGCGGATCCAGGATTTTTTTTAGGAGGGGGTGCACTCGTCTCTTGCTCTACTTCAACACCAAAAAAACCACATAGTTTTTTTTTTTTGCAGAATACCAGTTGTATTAGAAAACCGCAAGTCATCTCAGGGGAGGGGGGGGTGCGCACCCCCTGCACCCTCCCCCTAGATCCGCCCCTGTAGAGGTAGACAAAAACTAGTTATATAGTATATCGGTTATCCAAGGTGTGAACACAACACCATGTTCTACATATCCAGTACCCAGGCACTAGTTTTTTGACACAAAGTGTGAGCCTTTGAGTGGATTTCCACTTCCGCAGTATTGTTACGTGCACACGGACCTAAATTCTTTGCACTGCGTAAAAGGTTGGTTTCAACTATCGCGTCATTTGTAAGTGCGTACGTGCGTAAATGAATAAAATAGAGGCAATCTATGAACGGTAGCGCGTAAACGGAAAAGTTGAACCTCGCTTGAATTTTAAGTTTACGCGCGACACAACACATCTGTTGCCTCTATTTTATATGACGCGTATAAAATTTACGTGCGTGCGCACATAAAAATTACGCAACAGGGGAAATCAACCTTTAGACGTTTATGCGCGGATCGTTTGTTTTTCATTTACTCCACCTTATATCTGTATTGTCATTTTTCGTTAAGAGTTAAGGTTTGTCACGCAGTTGTCCCTGAACAGTCTTGGAATGTAAGAAATTTACTGTGTAAAGCTGACAAAACGTCAAGGCTTAAGACAGTAAAATTATTTTAAACTTAAGGGATCTTAAAAACTGCTCTTGCAAACTCTTTTCCGTTTGCGTTCTTCAGCTACACGTTTGAATTTAACCTTTTTGGTTCAACGCGGTTTTCTAGGGCTGCACGGATTAATACAAGCCTCTACAAATTTTTAAAATTTCAACAAAGCGGAATGAAACGTAAACAGCTTCTGACAGCTTAGAACGTCAAGACAGATGGCGATGTCAAGTGCACTCTTTTTTTCTACAAGAATATGTTTTATAAGAATATCGAGACTGAAATTTGTGAAATTTTATAAGAATACTTTAAGAATAAACCCCAGGCTGGGATTTTGAAAAGGATATAATTTTGT